AGATCTGTTAAATGAATTTAATGGACTGGTTGCAGAGAACATATCGAGTCCAGTATATTACAAATGTATAAACCTGAATGAGAATGATTTAGCCATATCAAACTATTACAAAACAAATCATTTTCCATCTTGTGGGAAAAGATTTTCCATATCTAAATTTTTTGTTCAAAAAACGAACTTTTTTTTTGATTGAAAATTTAGAAAAAAAATGAAACAGGCTGCCTATCTAAATTTCTGATATGTAGGAAACAAAACGAATATAAAATTCGACTATTATGAAAATCCTCAGGAGTACATGTATTATTCATTACCGTTTATATTATCATAGAAGGATGGACGTGTCTAAGCAAAAAGCTATCAATTTTTTTGCAAAAAATTATTCATTGTAAAAATCTATTTCTAACGATTTTACTTTCTATTGAAGAAAAACAAACAATAAAAACAATTATAATAAATTGAAAAGATTTATTTAAGTGATATTTTAACGCATTCAAATCAATAGTTTGGGCGCATCTAAACGACGATATTTGATACGATATTCAGAATTCCGTTAGAATGATTGTTTTTGAAGAAAGGAATAAAGTTTTTTATAATGGTCTGATGAGGACATGTAAATATGTGTAATTAATAATTTTCGAAAACGTTGTAATAAGAAAAAAATCTGTTTTAAATCATCACTATTATCAAACGAGCAATGATTATATTTATAAATATTTAAAATTGTAATTCTTGGGGCCCAGCTGAGTGCTATCAAGCGGATCCACAGGTTGCGAATCGTGGAATGGCCATTAGTATGATGATTAGCCGCGAATAAGATCAACTATTGATCAAATAAGCAGTCCTGGGCAATTCAGTCGGAGGAGGGTATGAGTGTCATCTTCAATCATGTCCACGCCCACTCATCCCAACGAGAGAATTGACAATTTTTATAAATTAGATATAGGTAGAATAATTTTTGTTTCATCTTCATCAATTTGAGTACAAATCAATTTGAAAGATCATAAATTTATTGTTAATGGTAACATTGATTTTAAATGAATAAAATTTTCTTTTTCAATATAAGTGAAAGTTAAGGTTTGTAGACGTGATAATTCATTAAGTGAAATATGTGATAGAACTGCATCAATTTGGTCACATAAGCCTTGATATGATAAATCTAATGAATAAATTTGTTGTTTCATATTTGGGCATGATAATCATTGTTACAC